AGCGGTTCTGGTACAGTCAGTGTGTTCTGACTGACAGTTCTGACTGCCCCAAGTGATGTCTTGATTTCTTAACTCGCTGTATGTCTGCAGAAGATGCTGCCTACCAAAGTGTGGACACAGCTGCGGGAAGCACTGGCACACCTGAGAGCGATGAAGAAGCAGAAGATAGAGTTACAACCTCAAGCTATTTTTGCAGTAATGCAAACCAAAGAAGGAAAAGGAAAAGGCCGCCAAACTTCAGAGAATCAAAGAAGAAAAAGACAAGTTATGGTGGTAGCCAGCAGTTTCATGCCAAAGGGTACGTTGCTTGTGGTAATTTGTAATTTTTCTTTGTCCCAAACGGCATAATGATGATCCCAGAACTGCACTGTAAGCCTACTGCGTTTTCTTGAGTAAGTATGGGCTTTAAGAGTGGCATTAAAATTATCCAGGCATCTGGTGACAACTGCTCTACTTTGGTTTTCTAGCATTTTCTGGTTAAAAAGCTCCTGGTAAGAAAGGATATTTAACAGTTCTCCTTTGTTTCTTACTCGACTGCCACAAGCTAAGCAGTGAGACTAAATTTCAGTGTGCTGCCATAACCGTTATTAGCAGGCTGACTGGATTCTGGGCTTGGAAACGTAAAGACAGCTTGAAACTTTGAAGATTTGACGCAATATTTGAACTTTGGTTCCCAGTCCCTTCTTAATGCAGAACTTCTCTCTCCCGTTGTACCATACAAGGCAAGGCCTGCAGTAAGACCGTAACGTTTGGATCCAGCAGTCTCGTTGGTCTTGACCTTCTCAGGCAGGTCCACCACCAAACTATCACAGGGTGATGAAGGAGCCAGGCTGGGCCTCATCCTTTGAGTCCATGACCTTATTTTAGCAGTTCGTGTAGTTATTAGTCTAGTAACTCAGTTTGCGCTGAATGTCCACACTTCAAAACATGATGATTAATCAGTGCTGAAAGGGAATGAATGAAAAAGGAGAAGCGTTTGGAGAAATTCCACCTTCCCCAAACCCTCTTTAAAAACAGGGGTGGGGGATGCGTGTGCGGCATTAGAAAACTTGAGCAGTAAGTTCTTATTTGGGTTTTATAGTCGTGCCTTTTAAAGGTTTGCTGTGCCCACAGCTTGCCTTGCACAAAAAGGAAGTAAATTAAAGTTGTCTTACTGTGGTATGGTCAGGTTACTTAATCCCTCAGCCTAGATATTTCACCTCGCTTGGCACATGAGATAGAGAACATGAGGTACAAAAGAGCAGTTATGCGAACAACCCATGTCTTGCATTTCTGAAATAATTCTTCAAATGGGATTATATTGACTCTGTAAGTGTCACAGAAATTGCATTATCTTTCAGCCGGGAGGAGTTCAGGCCATTCGGAAGAGTAGCTCTAAATGGTACTAATGTCTTCTCCAAAACACTCTGTAAAATCCCCACCTGAAGAGTCATACCTGAATTTTAAAGACTGTTAGGTTTTATTGGTATATTAACTACTTACATTTTACTGCTTTAACGTTGCATTCATCAGAAAAGAGAAAATACGGTCTGCTTCATTCAAACTCATTGCTTTCTGCTGTCTGCTCTTTCCAAGGATGTCTCCTGCTCTGCCCTGTTTTTCCTCATTCTGGTCTTTGTTTTTTGTAGCAAATAGCCATTCCCAGCTCAGTAGGGTTTACTCCCACCCTTTTCACCTTCCAATCTACTAAAATATTAGTCATTAAATGCTGTTGACCCTGAGCTGTCACTTAATGTTGATACTCTAATTGGATTAATAGGAGTCAGGTTGGTTCAGCATTCTCTGTCCCTGTTTCAGGCTGATTTTCGCCCTTAGGCAGATGCCAGAGCAACAGCCACACTTGATTAACATTTCAAAGGTATTTTTTCAGCCATGTGTATTTAAAAAAAAAAACAACAAACAAACCACCAAACAACAAAACAACACTTTTTTTAAAATGGAAGCATAATCTTCCATAAAATCGAATGGTGGTATCTGTGTAAGTATACCATGGGCGCAGGGAACATGGCAAGTAAAGCAGATGTTTGACACGCACCTTCTCTACGTTTTGCAGTGGTTACAGCAAGTACCGAAGGACCGGAAGGCGCTCTGGCTCAAAGGCTCCAGCCTCATCCGCCTACAGTTCATCGTGCAGTATTAGTGCCACGCAAGGAGCTGCTGGAAGGCTGGGGATTATGGCACCACCGAAACCCAAAACCAGACAATTCCTTCAGCCTTCATATTCGGTATTGTAGCTAGGCAGATGTAAATACTGTATCATAGCAAGCCCTGAAAATGATGTAATCATTGTTTATTGAATCTTTGTTTCATTTGCTAAATCTCCTGAGACTTGTACATTTGTCAAGTACAAAAACCTCACATTAAATAAATGTTTTTATACTCATAAGCTTATTTCACCCTTTCTTTCTACTATAAACAAACAAGAGTTCTGACTGGTTCTAGAAACCCTGCTCTTTCTGGGAAAGTAATCCTGTCAGCCTGCTTTCCAGCTACCACAGGATACACTTGAGACCACACATCAAAAGCGAGTACTGGAACCGCGCATCCCAAAGCTGTGGTTGCCTCTGTTCTTCTCCCTTGCTAGTTGCGCAAGTACTTCAGAGCTCGGTAGCTGAGCTGCTCTTCTGAAAGTGTAAGTCTTGGGATGTTCTCCTGAGGTAGAAATTATGATTAACATTTGGAAGTTTCCAATGTTCTTCCCCAGGCGCTGGGGCTGGAGAGCCTCCTGAGAGTGCCAAGCCCTGCCCCAGCTGTGCTTTTTGCAGTTGTGCATTTTATTTCCTATTTTAACTTTTTAAAAACCCCTGATCTTGTCACAGCCACAGTGAAGGGCCCTCGCCTTCCACTTTCCTGCCTTGCACAAGGCAACCCAGGTGGGTTCAGCTGAGGGGCTCAGAGGTGCACTGTTGGTACACGTGTGTCCTCTGCAGCGCCGGGGCAGGACAGCCCTTCGCTCGCTTGACTGGAGCAGAGGATTTCAGCAGCTCTTTCTGGGCAACGAGTCTGTGATGGCTGGTTTTGTGTGTTTTATAATGCATTTTGCAAGCATTCAGACCGTTTCAATTAACCTCACTGTTGAAAATGTTCACTTTTTCTCTTCTGTGTAGCGTGTATTTGTGGAGCATAACCACATCACTCTTTGCCACCCATGGTCTATCAGAATCACCAAATGGTTTGGGCTGACTGGAGCAGAGGATTTCAGCAGCTCTTTCTGGGCAACGAGTCTGTGATGGCTGGTTTTGTGTGTTTTATAATGCATTTTGCAAGCATTCAGACCGTTTCAATTGACCTCACTGTTGAAAATGTTCACTTTTTCTCTTCTGTGTAGCGTGTATTTGTGGAGCATAACCACATCACTCTTTGCCACCCATGGTCTATCAGAATCACCAAATGGTTTGGGTTGGAAGGGACCTTGAAGATCATCTCGTTCCCCCCCTGCCCTGGGCAGGGCCACCTCCCCCCAGCCCAGGTTGCTCCAAGCCCCGTCCAACCTGGCCTTGAACACCTCCAGGGATGGGGCAGCCACAGCTTCTCGGGGCAACCTGCCCCAGGGGCTCACCGCCCGCACAGGGAG